GGGGGAACTTGCACCCTGTGATGTTTGCTGTTTGTTTTACAGCTGATGATTATAAGCTTCTGATCGACTGATTGCTCATTGCAAGTGGGACATAATTCCCAAAATAAGGCGAGTTATGTGAAAATTAACTTGCAGGTCCTGATAGTTAGGCAGTTACAAGCTCTGCTGGAAGATGGTGGTAATTATCTTACGAAATTCCTTCCTGCCTTGTATCTTCATTGCGATTGCTCTAAGAGTGATACGTTTAAGATCAAGATTGAGAGCAAGCGTGTGCAGAATGTTAAACACAGAGTTGCTATTTCTCATCTTATTTTTGGTTGTGACCTTTCGAAGTGCACACAGTCTGTAGCCTTTGAGCCACAGACGTAATCTGTAGCACTCCCTTAGCTGAGGGCTGTCTTCGTGCAGGAGGACCTGCCTGCAGAGCACCAGCCAGTCCAGGAAATAGAGTTTTCACAGGGCTCAGTGCCCTGTATCGTAAACCTAAACTATAGGGTTTTCAATAGGGCTCAGTGCCCTTTGGCTCAGGCTCAACTCGCATTTTGCTGTGGGAATGATGCTGGTGAAATTGAGCCTGCAATCTCGTTCAGTCCCATTTGTGTCCATTTGTTCTCTGGTGCTGCTGCTGGGTAAAAATGTTCCTTTATGCCCTATACAAAGAAGGGATATTGCTTGCTCAGTTCACCTGAGCTTAGACCATAGGGCTTGGGGCAAGACAAGGAATTGCTTCAGTCCCAAGCAGACACCTTCCTTTCCAGACTTGCCCTCCTCTTCAGTCTTAACACATGGGGATGTGCCTCCCAAGAAATGCATGGAGGCACTCGAGTGACTCCTTGCTGGAAGTCACAGTTGCATAGCTTAATATAGAGAGGAATACAGATGAGGCAGTGCCACTGTCTCACATTAATATAGGATGCTTCATTGATGCTGTGACCAGTGGTGGTGAACAGGCAGGTGGCGGGATCACTGCAATTACTGGAGCCAAGCAGGGACATCCTAAAGTAATAAATGGCAAAGTGGAAGGCCTGTGCTTTGTCAAGGGAAATGTCCCCTGGGAGATGAAGGCTCACAAGGCTGTCCCAGAGGTTGAGGCCTTTGACAGATTCACCAGAGATAAGCAGTGATGCTCAGCTCTGTCAGGAGAGCTGCCTGTGGGAGAGGAATCACCTCAACGGCACACGGCAGCTTTGTGTCTTTGCTGCTGATGTACATAACAAAGCAAAGGCTCAAGAAACTGCCCCACAGGTTTGTCCAGGCTCCAGAAAAGCTCCATGATTTTTAAGTGCCAGTTTGTAGGAACTGTAAGAATATCTCCTTAATTGCTGTGACTTTTGAGATTTGAATGAACCTTAGTCTGTATTTAACTGTAAAAAGCAGTTGAACCTACTACATTTTTCCTGAGCATGATGGAGCGGATTTTCTAGATTTTCTTATTTCTACCCAGACCTGACACAGATGACATATGATGGCACGTAACTAGAATTCTGCAAATGTAGCACAGTCCAATCCATAGCATAACAGTGTGGCATACAAGGATATGTCCTTGTGGGCAGGTTTGCTGTGTCTTCCCGCATCATTTCTTTCTCTCACAAGTACCTGGTGGAGAAAATGAAGGTTGTGTGGTGGAGATTATTTTAATTTTTGCAGCTGTGATTTCAGGATGATGGATTGGATTTCCATAAGGCCATTCAGATCCAGTAATGCTATTTATTCCTAATGCATCTTCCATTTATATTCACGTAGAGCAAGCAAAATGGTGCTAGTGATGCTATTATTGCTTGTGCAGTTACTGACAAAGAAGCCCCTTGTGAGATGGGGATTTCACAGTGGACTGAAGGTAATTCTCTTCCTGAAAGACCCATAGGAATTATGTTACTGTAACAAATGCTTTGTTCCAGCTGAATATCATGCCTGGGCTGCTGCTGTTGAGTTCCTGTGGCTGACAAACCAAGAGTTGGTTGTGCTGATTGTAGATACGGGGAAAAGAGACATGGGAAGTGCTGACGGTAATTTCTGAGTTCGTTCACGGTAGCACAAAGGCAGATTTCAGGATGGGAAGCAGTGCAAAGGCTTTCGCATGATGAAATGATGTGGGTTTGTAACTGCTTTTGTGGTGTTACCCTTCCTGCGTAAACAGGAAGTTTAACCGTGCCGTGGAGCAACTGGGTTGCTTGTCAAGTACGAGGCTGGTGTTTGCTGCTTGCTTTCTTAGCCCGTTCTTACCTGCATTGCCAGGTAAGGCTGTCTCAGTTTATTCTGGCAGGTACTTTGCTCACATTGTCCTGCTTTGAACTGCGTGGAAAGCCGTGACTTTTGGAGCAATTTCAGTGTGAGGGGCAGGAGGAAAACAGGCAAAAGCAATGCACTTTGTGGTACTGCACGAAGGAGAAAGGGCACAGCAGTGCTGCGAGTCCCTGGCAGGTACCTTGCTCACATTGTCCTGCTTTGAACTGCTTGGAAAGCCGTGACTTTTGGAGCAATTTCAGTGTGAGGGGCAGGAGGAAAACAGGCAAAAGCAATGCACTTTGTGGTACTGCACGAAGGAGAAAGGGCACAGCAGTGCTGCGAGTCCCTCCTCTGGGAAGAAAAGAGAGAGCAAGCACACCTACCCATGGGAGTGCTATCAGCAGTTTGTACATGAGCTCTGCATCTCCTCGACAAAGCTGGGGGACAGGCTGGTCCTCTATATGAAAAGAATACACACTCTCCTTCTGAGTTGCCATCAGGTTAGTGAGCATTTTTAGGAAAGCCCTCAGAGCTGACTTTTGTAATGCTCCCATTGGTGCCCACGTGACTGCGGTTGGGATTGAGGCTCATCTTTACCAGCTTGCTTGAAATGAAAAGTCTGATTTGAAACGTTAATTTAAAATAATAAACAAAAAAAAAGACCTGCACAATCTGCATGATGTTTGCAATAAGCCACAGTGCAAAGAAAGACAGCACACTGCTCACAGCAAAGGAAAGGCACCACTCCTTGTCTGCTGTGGGCAATGGGGAGAACAGGCACATGGCCTTTAGACAGCCAACTCGATGGCCTCTGTCACCATGTCTGTTCTGGATGGAAGATGCTGGCAGAGGGGCATCTGCATGGTTAGGAGAAGAGAAATAATTTGGAAGAGCAGAAGAGAAGGGTCAATTTCATAGAGGGTGAATGGTGAAGCCCCAGCCTGGGATACCTTGCCACCGAGGCTCTGGGCACCCTGCTCTTTCCAGCCCTTCAAAAAGGGAAATCAGTGTTCTGTGCAGTAAATGTTACACATAGCAGTTTGCAGGGTGAGAGTTAATAGTGAGAAACCCAGTTTCTAATCTGAGACATGTTTTACCTATAGGAACACCAGTGCAGTGTGCAGGTGAGTGTGTGCTGTAGGGCCTTTGCCTTGTCTAGTCATGGGGAGTTGCTCTCACTGAACCTCACATGGAAGAGCTCTTGCTTTCTGCTCTGGAGAGGCCAGATTTAGTCCCCAGTGCTGTAGTTAAGTGAGGGCTCCTGGGCTCCTGTCTGGGGGCTGGATTTTGTGTGCTTCCTTTGAATGGAGGAAACGATCAGTGTTTTTCTACAGCTGTCTCTTGGTGCTTGGCTCCCCTTTCCTCTGGCTTCTGCTGTTGCTGATTCCAAACTCTTAAATTTCATTGTGTTTTTACCCAAGCTGATTGCTTCCCTGATTTCCTTTCTGCCTTAGTTGTGATCTGCTTAATGGTGATTTAGGAGGGTTGCAATGCATTAAGATTTACATGCAGCCCTTGGCTGCTGCAAGACTGAATAGCACGACTTGTGTCTTCAAGGTCTTGACAGTTACAACGAGACTACAAAATTCCTGTCAGCAGGCTGAAAGTGCTGCTTTCAGTGTTTCCCTCTGTGCTAATTAGCTCCTTTTAGCCTGGGTATGTGGTTACTTCATGTGCAAGGCTTCCCTCTGACAAATTCTTCTTCCCAGTGATCAAATGGCTCGAAGACTTCACTTCAATGACACGACCCTCACAGGAGACCTGGGCTTTTATTGCCCATATTTACACGAGGGACAGCTACTAGGATGTCTGTGGCATGTGAGCAGTTTGTAGGAATCCCAGGCAGCAGCATGTTGCCTTCACTCCAATCTGAAATCAGGGCAGGAGTCTGTGATGCCCTGGTGTCCTGGTCGATGACCTTTGCGCAGTAGATCCCTGATGGATAGCTGTATTTGAAGGCCTGGCTGTTAATGTGGTCACTCAGGTGTTGGAGGAAATTTCCCTAGGAGAAAGGCATTATCTGTGCTTAGAAAGGAACGTAGGACCTTAAATAGTGCTGTAAAAGGCGATTGGAGTAATCTCAAGTTTTTTGATAAACTATCTCGCGGTGCTCAATCAGCACTCAACGCAATGCTCAATCAGAAGGAAGGGGTTCACTATCTGTAAGATTTAATTAAAGGTCTCTGAACACAATTATGAACCTAACTCCAGGTTTCTACGTTTGGAAATTTCCATCAAAAAGCATCTCCGTCCATCTATCCTTACACACAGAGATGCGTGCTGTCAGCCTGTGTAAATCTAATCTGACTCAAGGACTTCAAGGGGTTTTGTTTTGTTTTTTTATTGTTTTGGGGGTATCTTTTTCTTACATGAGAATTTCTCACATGTCAGTGTTTCCGTAAAGACTTTGCACTGGACGTGAATTACATCCACATTAGCGTTAAGAGGCCATGGAGATTTTAAAGCATGATGGTCAATATCTTTTTATGGTATTTGTTTTGCACGCTGTCAGGACAGTTACGGTATTGTAACAAGCAGAGAAATCTGGGGAACTGTACATTGATAACACTCTGCAATCAGACATTTTTGTAGACAGAAAGGAGAATGAACTTTCTGTTTGTTTGGCTGATTTCCATGACTGGAGGATGTGGTCAGGAAAAACACTGATAAATTCAGAGGTCTATTCAGAATGGTGTAAATTAGCCCCCATCATCTGCCTTCCTGTGGCTTATACCTGGGCCTGCCTGACGTCCTCTCTTTGCCTCTTTTCCCAGGTTGTTGCACTGTCATCATGGAGTCTCTTGAGAGATTCAATCTACTATACACTGTCTGTTGTTGCACTCATTGTGGTAAGTTCCCAAAGGCTGTTGTACGTGTTATTCTTCTGTGGGACCCCACGTGTCTGCTGTAGAGGGATCTCACTAAGAAACCAAAGTTCTGTAGCTAAGGTGCTCCATGTGGTTTTTCTGTCCATGGAAAAATGAACGTGTGGTCTCCGTGGTTCTGTAGAAAAGCATGGCCAAAGGGTAAGAGATGAAGAAATATCAAGGTCAGGATATGCAAAAATTGTCTTTCCTGGTAACAGTTACTACTTTGTGTATGTATATATGTATATATATTTCTTTACTTGGGCATATAGTCTAGGACTGTACATTCCTCAAGAAAGGAAGAGATTTTGTGAGGCTAATTCCCATATGTAAACGAGAAGAAGGGAACACAGAGTCAGAAGATGAACACTTGCATTTCTGAAGTTTATGCAGTTTTTCTTAGACATGGTGTGCTTTGTTTTGCCTTCGCTCGTCAAACGTCCATATGCCGTGTGCATTTTCTATAGGCACAAAGGCCTGTGTCTCTAACCTCACATAGAGGGTTTGTCGTAAGCTCTTTGTGCTTTTGTTCTGCAAGATCTTCAATCTAATGTATGCATCAATGCTGTTGCTAGAATTAGAGCTGCCTAGCTATCAGTAATGAGCTGCAAAACTAAAATCTTTTATTTTTGCTTGACAAGTAGCATCATACCAAAAACTTCCTGACCAATGAACTCCACCACATCCATTAATTGTAATAGATGGCACTGCATGAGCGTAAAGACATCTAGCAGGTGTTGGGTGGATAGTGATAGGATGGGGGGAATGGCCTTAAACTGAGACAGGGGAGGTTTAGGTTAGATAGTGGGAGGAAGTTTTTCACCCAGAGGGTGGTGAGGCACTGGCACAGGTTGCCCAAGGAGGCTGTGGATGCCCCATCCCTGCAGGCATTCAAGGCCAGGCTGGATGTGGCTCTGGGCAGCCTGGTCTGCTGGTTGGTGACCTGCATACAACAGGGGGTTGGAACTGGATGAGCACTGTGCTCCTATTCAACCCAGGCCATTCTATGATTCTGCGATATGATTCCCTTAGTTTACTCCAAGGAAAGCACAGATGTGGGCACTTGCCTGCTGTTTGGCCACTTGTTTGGATTGGGTGTTTCATACAGGCATTACAGAACTGCAGAAATCCTTTTCTTTTGGAACTATACCACATAATATCAGAGAACTGTAATTTTTTAGACCTGAAGAGGTTCAAGGTCCTTTGTGCAGCCAGAGTAGGGCTTGGAGGCATTGCCAGAACTGCGATGCGGATGTCGAAGCACTTCATGGCCAACTGTGGCTTGGGAGATGTGGAACAGGCCCCCATCTCTTCAGCATTACTCCACAGCAATCACTGCACAGGCTTTTTAAACACCTGTTAGAGAAAAACGGAGATAAATTAGAAGAAGAGAGAACATTTTAAGTGATTAAAGATTTAGCTCCCGAGGGATTTAGCAACCCTGTCCTATGTAGCATTCCTCCTCAGACGATGGCAAATGAGGATTCTCCTTTCAGAGTCCAAACACTGCTTCACTTCAGGAATTTTCTCTCCTCTCCATCATTTAGCTAAGGATCTCAGGCTTTACAGTGGTTCAGATCCTTTATCTCCTTTTAAGGTAGAATCAAAAGGAGATGTCAGCATGTTGATATTTGGATTCTGCCTCTCCAGTCCCCCATCTCTCCTTTGGCAGGCATGCTGCTGGCTCTGTGCAGAGCGCAGCACAACTTGCACTCTGTTTTCTCATTTGTTAGACTTGTATGGGCCTTACATTTTAGGAAGCATTTAAACACTTCACTATATAGGGATAATAGTGCTGGGGCATTGAGACTCTGCTGCAGCCAGAATATAATCATCTTTCTTGAAGGATAATATTGCTTTGTAGAAGATTGAGCTCACATTATTTTGAAGAGCAGCTTGTGCTGCTCTCATATGATCTACACTCCTCAGGTGCCTTTGCTAATCATAAATACACCTGAGAAGAGATAAATACACTCCTGCCAACGCTGAAATGCAGCAGCTTAAAATTCTGCCGGGTAAATCCACGTGAGTTTATCTCCTTCCATTTCAACCAGCAAAGGATTCGCAGTGCTGCAGTAAGAAATCGCAGAGCAGCAAACTCACCTCTTTGGTGCTCCGTGCCAGCTGATAAGAGTGAGTGAGCTCCACATCACAGCAGTTAGAAGTGGGCCAACTTTCTTTATCCCTGTTAGCTCGTGTTGATTGAGCTGTATGATTATTTTTTTTTTACCTTAAAATTATATTACAAAGCTGGTCTTCTTTTAAAGCTTGGCAAGAACTGTTACTCCTTCTTTTCTTTGAAAGAAAAAAGATCCCAGTGTTTCCTAACTCGAAAGGACGTGGTCATTGTCATTAGTGAAAGAAGTGGGATGGGTGCTATTTTTAATCACAAAGGTCAATGCACAAGCTTTCGTGCCCTGCCACACCAACACAGTGCAACCTAAAATAGCTGTTGTCAGATTAGATCACCATGACTGGGGCTGTGACTTATAGCATGCATAATGTCTTGCTGTCATGTGTTCTTCCAGTAACAAATACAGCTATTGTTTGCTGCTCTATCAAACACAAGTTGCTATTTACAGGCTCTTTAGCTTCAGGGAAGCGTTTTGTTGCAATTTCTAAAGCCCATTTCCTTTCCCTTGGTTTTCTCCACCGCTGCTCTGGCTGTGTTTTCCTAGTGGCATACACAGCGCTTCCACTCCTTCGTACAGCACTGAGCTGAAAGCAGGTGAAGGTGCTGGGAAGGACCAAGCGGCCAGCAAGAGCCTTGCCAGCTGGCACCTGGTCCACCGGGTGCAGCCCAAGGCTGTAGGACCCCTGGACCACTCGTGAGCATCCTTGCCCTAGCCCTGCCCTTCCCACTGTGGCTGCAGCATGAGCCAGGCTCAGCATCCCCAGCTCTGGGACTGGCAGCTGGAGCACAGCTCACTCGGAGGCCCACTGGAGATGGAAAGAGAAGCAGAGTGAGGGATGCTGCCAGCAAGGCCACCGCAGCAATCCTGTTTGCTTCCAGCAGCTGCTGGTGCTGGTGAATTCAGCGGTGGAACATGACGGCCATCTGCTGGTGACCTCCTAACACCTGCCTCTCCAAACCCCAAAAGCCAAGGCTGGTTAGAATGGTGTGAACCCCTTGGAATCCATGGCACAGTGTTGGTATTCCCCAACACACAGCATCTTAAACATGCAGGAGAAAGACATCACTCCTTCCCCAGGAGCACAGCATCACGAGGAAACCTTCAGATGTACAGACAGGACTCTAACAGTGCTTGTTAAGAGTCTCAAGCTTAGCTTGTAAGGAAATCGTGCCCTGGGGCTGGTTTTCAGTGTTGTTGGAGCACCTGTCATTGACACCAGGTGTGGAAGTGGCTGTAAATCTGCACACCTACAGCCCAGCTGCTGCTGAAGGACAGCACAGAGGGATGGCAGTATCTCTGCTGAGACCAGCTGGTGCAGCTCCTCCAGGTCACCTGTTGCCCTGTCACCTCTTCAGCTCAGCACCGGTTCCACAGGACCCTGTGGGCTTTAGGGAGGAATGCTGCTCTGCTTTTCTAGGTGGGAGAAACTTGAGAGCTGAGAGGTTCCCAGGGAAACAGAAGAGAGCCTGATGCCACTGCCCCAGGCCCTAGGTTGCTCTGTCCCCTCTGCCACCTGCTGGGGGGGTTGGCTTGCAGCCTTGGTGCATGCTGTCATGCATTTCTTGTTTAACACGCTTCTTTTTTAATCTTCCCTCCACAGTTTATTTACGACGAAAAGGTTTCCTGGTAAGTGAATCTGGTTATATTTCTTGCTCGTTTTTCCTGTTTGCACCACAAAAGCTGCCATGCACAGGGTTTGTGGGAAGAGAAGGGGTTTGAGAATCAAAAGTTTTGCTGAGATCGTGGTGTTTGCAGCACAGCTTGGAGAGTGACAGCGGTAGCTTTGTTTTCACTCAGCCAGCGTTATTTAGACCGCAAGCACTAGGGGGAGTCAGGTTGCTTGGGTTGTGTGTTTTCTGACACTCTTTCTTACTGGGGGATTTGTGTTTAATTTCAGAGGATTTCTGAAACGCTGAGTTTTGCAATGGCTCGTTTTCATTTTGTTTTGTTTTTAACTGAAATTGACTGGAGACCCAATTATATTTGACCGTGCCCCACTCAAACCCATCGATGAGGAAGCTGAGGGTTGAACTGCCAGGAGTGAGGTTTGGCATGCTTCGTGTGAGGTGCCAAAATCCCAAACGAGAACATAACCCATGAATTTCAGTACACAGCTGGAGCTCAGCACCAGGTCCTGCTCTGATGCACTTTGTGTTCCTTCTGTTTGCAGGTGGGAGTCCTTGGTCTTGGTGCTGATGTATGCCATCTACATTGTTATCATGAAGTAAGAGATTCCTCTCTACCTTTTTGTGGGCACAGAACCCCACTGTGTTTCATTATTCTTTGCTCTGAAACCCATAATAGAACTGCAGCACAGCCAGCACCGATTTCATGAGCATCTGAGCTGCATAGCTCCCTTCATACCGCATGATGCTGGAGGAGCTGGGCTGTTCTGCTCCTCAAATCCCCTCCTCCTGCCCTGTTTCTAAAAGCCAGTGGAAAAGAAACCCGGATTTAAGCTGGAACATTAAACAAAACCTACCAGCCACCAAACGCACCAGTGGTCTTTTCTCAACAAGTAAGGGTAGAAGTTTGTTTTGAAATGATGAACAGAGTAAATATTAGGAGAGCAATTCTCAGTGAGAGCAGCAAAACAAGCTCGGTAGAAGAGAATACAAGTCAGAATTCCTCTTAGTTCTAGTAATTAGAAGCTTTAATTTGGAGGGCAGGTTCACTCTTGCAACACTGGCCAACAAAACAGGTAGCTGTGCTGTTTCAATCTAGAGTGGATTTGTTTTCTTAAAGTGATGCTGTAGTTTGAACAGATGTTTCTGACCTCCTGGCTGTTGGTGTGGTTATAGGGGCCTCAGCCACGTGCTCACAACGGTCCACCCTTCCTTTTGAGTCTCGTGGTGGGATCCTGAGCTCATGTCTGTGTCAGTTCCTGGTTATTCAAAATAAGATAAGAAGCAAATATATTTATTTTATATATAATTCTTTTCAAAGTCAAGGCCAGAACTTGGCACGTGGTCTCACGCTTCTCTGGTTTGCTTTCGCAGGCAAAATAGCACTCGTACTCAGGAGTGACTGTAAATTTGCACAATGATGAGTAAGCATTACTTGCTATGGGAATATTACTGACATGTAGATAAACAGACATGTGCTCTGTTCATGATTGATTTCTGACACGTTTCCAAGCCTTCTGGGAACAGAGGCATTGCCCTGCATGCAGTTTGGTGGGAGCTGGGCACGCTATCTATCCCTCGATGTCCTTAAAGCCAGGAACTGAATGTAGGAAAGGCAGTGTTGAGAAATCCATGTAGAAGCAGCAAAGGTACACCTAGAATTCCTTTTATTTCTGCAGGTACAACTCTACCATACAACACTGCTTGGAAAGGAAGACAAAAAACGCTGCAAACATGGTGAACGGATTGGCAAATAACACGGAAATGGATGATAACAGCAACTGCGATGCCACAGTGGTGTTACTAAAGAAAGGTAACTGTTCCAGTAAGTCACCCTGCTTGCTTGCATCGTTCTGAGTGTTTACAAGTTTGTCTGCCTGCTGTGCACTGTGGGCTGGGCACGTCTGCTCAGCGCTGGCATAGGCAGGGAGGTGCACCTTAAGCCTCACTTATATTTCCTTAGCTTAAAAAAATCATTGCTTCCATAGCTCAGCTGCAGTAGTGTGTGCACTGGTGAGCACAAATTAAACTGCATACACAGGGTGTAACAGATCATGCTTTGTTTTTGCAGCAGGCAGCAAGCACGTGTTGTGAATGTTGGATTATTATGCACCTATCCTCAGCAATAAGAGACTCCACAAGTCGCTGCTTTAAACTGAGAAGGAGTTGTGTCTTATTTAAAGCAGCCCTGGCCTCTGTGTACAGACAAGCTGCCCTTTTTCTTCTGCTCGACTCCATAAAGGACAAACAAAACCAGCTGTTTTCCCACAAAAGTGATTGAAAGATTTAGTGTATATATATAGCAAGCAACTGAACATGAAATGTGGATGTTTTTTCTTGCTGACATCAGACTCTTTGAGTCTACCAGATGCCTGCTATCACATTACTGCCTGTTGCTGAGCAGAGGGAAAGCTTTTGTGAGCATGGTGTGCTGTGGTTTGGGGAAGCTGCTGTTACTGGAACAGCTTTCTGTAGCCTTGGAATCTCAACCGTGGAACTATGCTGGCAAGATAGCTACACTGCACCAGTGCAACTGGGCTGGGAAAGCAGAAGCATAAAGTCAGGTTTACCCAGTGTCCTCAGGACTGCACACAAATGAGGCATTTCTGATTGTAGGATTTGGTTTAAATTGCACCAGAATGCCTCTTTGCGTGACACTCCTCAGACTGGTACATTTTGGTCTTGAAACCTTGTGGTTTCTTAAACTGGCTGAGGAAGGAAGCCCAAAGGATTGCTTCATCTTCTTGAGGATTGTTCCTATGTTTACTTGGCCTCTGCAGGCTCAGATGGGTGAGTGGTGCATCTGGGTCAAAAACAGCCCTGATTTCAACTGGTCAGAGTGCTGAGGGCATCCAGTAATTACATTTGCTTTCCAAACTTCCACTTTTCTGAACTGAAGACCACGAAGAAGAAAGCAGGAGGGTTTCGGTGGTACACAGCACATGCTAATGTGAAAAAGTCACCAGGGAAAGCTGTCTGGCCTTCTTGATTTTTGTGACCCTTATGTCTACCCCAAACCATAGAAGCATCCTCAGAAAAAAGAAAGTGCCTGTGGAGGTGCTCTGCTGTAGGACTAAGAATGATGATGATAATGCAAACATTTGCCAGTTGTGCTGGGAAAGATCTTGGGTTTCCCTGCTGCTGTGTCCCAGTCCTGCCTCTGCTGTCTCAATCCAAGGACTCTTGGCCCATCCCACAGAGGTGATGGTGGACGAGGCCAGTATCCTCACACAAGTGCGAATTACAATAGTGGAATTAATACTTCCTTATTGCAACAACTTCTTCACCTCAGCAGTGACCACTGTTGAAGCAGTGATCCGTTTAACAGAGGCCTACAATGATCTGTGCAGAACAGATTTTATTTGCTATCAGTGGGAATGAATGGAGATACGGTATTGGTCATTTATTTATAAAACCTGCTGTGTAAAGTCAGGAATTAAATACAGAGGAGGCTGTGGAGTGGCTGAAGGAGTGGTTCTTACAAAGGACCTGGGGAACCTGTAGATTTGTTCTGCTGAGTGCCGTATAAGATGGAAAGAGGCTGGTGGTAAGCAAAGCCTTCAGCTTCTCTTTGTTTCTTGGTTGCAGGGAATTTCCACCGTAAAGCCTCAGTGATCATGGTGGATGAGCTGCTGTCTGCTTACCCACACCAGCTTTCATTTTCTGAGGCTGGGCTCCGGATCATGATAACCAGCCACTTTCCTCCCAAAACACGTCTCTCCATGGCCAGCCGCATGCTCATCAATGAGGTATGTCTGTTCTCTTTTTTCCCCTTTCTCTTTCTCATTCCAAATTTGCTTTTGCCTGTGGCAGCATTCGGGTCAAAATGGACCTCTATGATTTTCTTGGATCCCTGTGTGCATTTTTCCCAGTTCCATCCTTCTAACGACATCCATTTTAAATCATCCCTTGCTATCTGTACCCACGGAGATTTTAGTAGAGAAAGTTTCAGGTCATTATGTGGTTATGCTCCCTGTAGCTGTTGCTCACAGCAGATGCCTGCAGCATTAATCTGATCTGCTGTTAACATCTTTATTTTATAAGATGGTACTACACTTTCTGACCCTTGTCTTGTTGTATCCCTGCAGTCAGTTCAACAGTTACTGGTCCTTATCTCATAAAAGCTATATCTGTGTGTTGTTTTTTAGTTCCTGCAAGCAGCTATTGCATTATGCATGACCAAAATCCATCCCTTTTTGCTTTTGAAACCAAGTGTTTATAGAACTCTGCACATCTCTTTTTCTCTGTTCCTCCCCTTCTCTTGAAGAAAAAATGAAAAGCAAGCATTACAATTTAAAAAAATCTGTCTTTGAACAAGAATTTGTGTCGGTATTAACAGAGACAAAGACTGATCAACAGCAGGACTTACACCAACGGTGAATCAGAAGTAGCAATCAAAATACCTATCAAGCACGTTGTGGAGAATGGAACAGGTCCAAGCAACTCGTCTGAGCGGGGCGTGAATGGCACACGGCGAGACGAGGACGTGGCTGAGGCTGGCAATGAGACAGAGAATGAGAATGAGGATAATGAGAACAATGAAAATGATGAGGAAGAGGAAGAAGATGATGACGATGATGACCATGAAGGGCCATACACACCTTTTGACCTACCCAGTAAGAAACTTGTGGGTTTGTGTTGTTCCAGAAAGCAAAGCTGAGTTTGAGTATGCCAGAAAGCACAGAATCATAGAATCCTTAGAGCTGGAAGGGACCTCTGAGGGCCATCTAGTCCAACTCCTTGCAGTGAACAGGGAAAGCACAGCTAGTTCAGGTTGCCCAGGGCCTTATTCAGCCTTGACTTGAAAGCCTTGAGACTTCCCCTTGTCTTCCTTGAGGCCATCAACCACAACACTGCGTCACCTGTTCCAGTGCCTCATCACCCTCACTGTAAAATATTTTGTTCTTTATATCTAGACATACTTTGGGGTCTGTACCTGTACCTCAGAGTTCAGTTCCTGGTCACAGGTAACAGTTAATTGGAAAGCACGAGGTGCCTCTCAGTATGTTGGGCTGGTTGGTGCAGCTCAACTGCAGCTCATGTGTTGGCCCTGCCACTGCAGTCTGTGGGAAGGGCAGCAACCTCTGCTGGGGAAACCTGGGCCCCTCTCTGGGCAGACCAATCTCATTCCATTGACTGCCCTATGTTTGAGTCATCCCAGAGCTGTTGAGATCTAGGGTGTTGGAAACAAGACAGAAAACTGTAGGGACTGTTTCTGCCATTTCCAAGTGATACATGTTTTTGGGAACTCCTATTCAGACCTCCACACATAACTGTAGTTCAAGCAGGGGGAAAAAGCTGAGCCTTAAAGATAATAATTTAGATGTTCTACGGACAATGACACTTGATTTATAGTATGGAAAAGGTTGGTGTGACCTCTGGACCTCTTGTCTGGTTCAAACTTCTGCTCAGGGGAGGTCTTACTAGAGCAGGTTGCCAAAGTCTGCATCCACCCTTGAGTGTTAGTTAGCTCCAAGGATGGGAATCCCACGGTCTTTCACTGTTCCAGAGTCTGACCACCACCCATGTGATAGGAAAAAAAAAGCACAGCTGTGACACTTACTGATGCTTGCTGAATGGTTATGACACCAAGCAGTGGATGTAGCACAGACAGGCAGCGGGTGGTGCATTTCAGCAGTGACAACAGCAGTGGGTCACTTCCACTTGTGCAGATTTTTCTGAGCATAGAACTCAGGCTGTTGTTCATCCCTGGCAAAAATGCATTGCAAATGGGTGGTGGCTGTTGAAAAACAGTGTTTTGTAGCTGAGAATTTACTGTTATCAAATGATTTCATTGTCCTCTTTGTATCTGTTGTCATTTCCGTAGGAGGCATTACTTTCAGAGCGACCTACATATTAACTAGAATCATGATTGTTTCCCATCTTCTGTTTTACAGCTGGCAAAATGGAAATCTTGAAGTGGCTCTTCACGTGGCCATTGAGCTTTGTGCTGTATTTCACAGTGCCCAACTGTAACAAACCCCACTTGGAGAAATGGTTCATGGTTACCTTTGCTTCTTCTACCCTCTGGATTGCAGCTTTCTCCTACATGATGGTGTGGATGGTATGTACCAACTAAAGCAGAAAACAGCCTAAGAAAGGCAACATAAGTAATTTTTGTCAGCTTTGAAAAATTGGGCTGTAGCCTTAAGCAGAAGTATGAGGCACTGGCATCGGGGAAGAAAGGGAGGCCTGGCTTGGGCTCTGCACTGGTGCACAAATGATGGTCTGTGTCAGCTTATAAGTATCTCCTCTCTGCCAAAAGGAACTGTTTGCAGTGACACAGATATACGTGTTCCTATATATAACATTTATGTAACATGAATGTAATGAACTTTAGGGATGTTTTGTTGTCATCTTAGCTGCTGTTTGCATGCAATAACAATCTGTGAGCTTTGGGCAAGTCTGTTAAGAGAGGGCAGTGAGCCACCATATAGCCTCTCCTCCAGGTTAGAGTCAGGAGAATAGTGGATGAAAGGTGGAAAGCAGCTAATCAAAGAGTGTGCATAGCAGGTCAGTGCTTTCCTCTGCCAGGTGGTGAACATACAGAAAACATAGAAGTGAAAAAAGCCTGTCACTGCTTCTCTTCAAAGAAAGCATCAGTTTGCACTGAGCAATAAGCGCTGTCTCACAGCATCTTGCACAACTGGCCCAAGCTGCTCTCTGATTTTTCTTTATAAACCACCTGACAGTTCTGTTTCACTCCTTAGGTGACAATCATTGGCTACACGCTGGGAATTCCAGACGTGATAATGGGCATCACTTTCTTGGCTGCAGGAACCAGCGTGCCAGACTGCATGGCAAGCCTCATCGTAGCAAGGCAAGGTGGGTTCATCGCTGAGATGTCAGGCTGCTGTAGAGTTGCTTCTGTGCATCATTGTCCTCTTTAAGAAGTGTGTCCTCAATGTAAAAACATTCAGAGCCCTTTTCCTGAGGCTGAATTTGATGGCAAGCACAAAGGAAAAGAATTCTGCTGCTATTGCAAAGCAGCTGAGAGGTTCTTAGTGATGGTGTGCAGCAAGCTATGGCATGGTCAGCAACTTGAAGCCTCCCAGAAATTCACTGTTTGATTCTTATTGGTTTATTTGTTTGTCTGCCAAATTTAAATCCAGTGCTGTGGATTTATGCAGAATATGCCATGTGTGTTTTCCTGAGACATGCCTGAGTGTACGTGGTTTCCATTCCTGCAGGTATGGGGGATATGGCCGTGTCCAACTCCATTGGAAGCAATGTTTTTGATATTTTAATCGGCCTAGGCCTTCCGTGGGCTTTGCAGACCCTAGCAGTGAATTATGGATCATACGTAAGTCTCACATTTGTTTGCAGTTTGTTTATCTGTGCATATCTTTTTTTTTTAAACACAAGCTTCTATGGAGACTAACTAGAGCTATCAAAACAATCCCAAATTATGTGGGTGGGCTCTGAAGGAACAGATAATTTTGCTATGTTTTGTGCTGGAGATAGCAGCAATTACTGTCAGTGTACATTCCCCATCCTTTGGAGGACAAGTACTTCCATTTCCTCCTTAAAGGCAGGAACTTGAGCTGAAATAAGCTAACTCACTCGTGTATGCAGCATTTTTGTGCCCTTGAATATATTCCAAATAAGATTGGCTTAATAAGACAAACAGGGTAAATGCATGGGCAGAATGTAGGGCTTTTAGTAAGAAAAACTGTACTGTTTTTAAACTGTTAACACACTGAAAGGTGAAGGAAGCTGTTGAATAACTGGGCTATTTCAGGGCATGATTACCATCTGGAAACACTGCACAGCTCTACTGTTTGAGAAAACCTAGCCAAAACTAATGGAACCCCTAGGTAATTCCCAAAGGATGGCAGATGCACACCATGCACAGAACTGCTGGAAGCTCCCTTCTGAGATAGAACAAGAGATACCATGAAATCCCAGAGGGATGCAGCATTTGCTTTTAGCTGGACCGCACTCAGCAGAACAGGAGTCTTCTTCTTTGCAATCACAGAATCATAGAATGGCCTGGGTTGCAAAGGAGCACAGTGCTCATCCAGTTCCAACCCCCTGCTGTGTGCAGGTCACCAACCAGCAGCCCAGGCTTCCCAGAGTCACATCCAGCCTGGCCTTGAATGCCTGCAGGGATGGGGCATCACAGCCTCCTTGGGCAACCTGTTCCAGTGCCTCACCACCCTCTGTGTGAAAAACTTCCTCATATCTAACCTAAACCTCCTCTGTCTCAGTTTAAGACCATTCCCCCTGGTCCTATCAATCACTAACTGACTGCAAAGTTAGGACTATAGAATCACAGGATGTTTGAGCTTGACAGGTACCTCTTGAGGTTATCAAGGCCTGGAACCTCTGTTCAAAGCATGGTGAGCCAGAGCAGGTTGCTTAGGACCATGTCCAGTTGATTCCTTAATATCGTTGAGGGTGGAGGTGATATCACTGCCTCTCTCAGCTGTGTGTTTTAACCACCCTCACAGTAAAAAGCTAGAAGTGTTCTTTTAATGAATTTCAAATGGTGTGCATTGCCTCTTGCTCTTTCAATGGGTACAACTTGGAGGAGTCTGGCTGCACCTTCCTTGTGCACTTCCATCAGGTATTTACACGTGCTGAGAAGATGCCCTCAAGCCTTCTCTTTTCCAGGCTGAACAGTCCCAGTTCTCTTGGACTCTCAGCTGCTGCAGTGCCTTTAAGTCATCCTTACATCCCCTCTCTCCAACGAGTAGCTATCTGCCTTAGACTGGGGAGCTTTGCAGATGTGTCTGACTAGTGCTGAGAAGAGAGGAAAGATGCCCTCCCTCCACCTGCTGGCAACGCATCTCCGAAGGCAGCCCGGGCTGCTGTTGGTGCTGCTTGCCACAAGGGTGCATTGCGGGCTTGTTCTTGGTGTCCATTAGGACCAGGAGGTCTTAGCCGAGTTGCTTTCTAACTGATCAGCTTCGGTGCATTCTGGTGCATGAGGTATTTCCTTCTCAGGTGCAGGACTTCTCATTTCCCTTTGTTGATGTTGATGAAGTGCATTTTCCCACCTCTTCAGGGTCCCTGGTGAAGACACCAGCCTTCTGGTGCTTCAAGCCACTCCAGCCAGTTCTGTATTGGCTGCAAACTTGCCGAGGTTTGTCCTCTGGCCCATCATCCATGCCATTATTGAAGGTGTGAAACAATATTGACCCCTGGGCTACACCACTGGCCTCTAGCTGGATGCTGTGCAGCTGAACACAACCTTTGAACACAGCAGTTCATCTCCTAACAGCCCTCTCCATCACCTGTGTATTTAATCTGCTCTTCCTCTGGCTGTGAGCGTGTAGGAGAGGCAGTGTCAAAAGTCAGGGCAATTAACACATGTATGAAGGGAGATCAACAAGACTACCTCAACCATCTTGTCATAGAAGGGTATTTGGCTGGGTAAATACAATTTCCCCTTCATCTCCCAATCACCTTCTTGTCATTCATATGTTTAGAAATCATTCCCAGGATTATTTGCTTCATCACCTTCCCTGGTGTCAGTGAGGCAGCATGCAGTTCCTTGTTTACCCCCCTTCCCTTCCTTGAATATAGGACTGACAAAAGGAAGCAGTGCTGTAGGAATGAAATCCTTTTCTCTAAGGAGTAACTTATCTGTAGCTCATCTACATTCGTTAACGTTTGTTTCCTTGACAAGAATGAGAACAAGTCACTGAGCAGAAGCAGCCAGCTTTCGTGGGGGCACAACAATGTTGCTACTGTTTTACACACCCAAAATGTTCATTGTATGCTGCAATCACGTGGGTAGTAAAAACAGCCTTGGAAACAGTCCCACAATTAGCAGACAGGGTTCTCTTAGTTTTCACTTACGATTTCTGTACTTCTCTCCAAATCCTTGGATAAGCAGACTTCATATCTCCACCACCCCACATACATGCACACATACATGGTAATTGTAACTGTGGTTCTCCAGTCTTGTATACAAAGGGAAAAGAGCTTTCTAAAAGTGAAGATTAAGAAAACAGCCCAAAGCCAAGCACTTGCTTGAATGTGATTACTTTCTCACAGCCACCCAAATATTTCCTCCCTGATGTAGGAAGACTGTACCAAAGTTAAGCTCTTGCTGAAAATAGTGTCAATGCATTTTAAGAGAGAAGCTTTTATGGCAGTGATATATTTTGTGGAAGCCAGAAGAAAAGTAGACCGCCTGATTGCAAAGTTAAGCTCTAAAACAGAAGAGCTTCCCATGTGCACCCAACAGCCCTCCTGTTGTGAAAGGCTGAATGCTCGGGGCCTACATCACACTGTAAAATCCCATTGCCAAGGTATCTCTTATTTCAGGCTGCCTGAGTTAGAATTCCCTGTGGCCAAATTGTGTTCCCTGTTCTGCTGATGTAAAGGCAGAACTCTGCTACACGTTACTGTGCTGAAAAGGAGGACAGGGTCTGTTCCCTTTCTCCTTGTGCTGCAGTGTGCACCAGCACAACACAGCATGGTGTCCTGTGAGTGTGCGCCTTCCTGACCTTCCTCAGCCACGTGAGGGAAGTGGCTTCATGCTGTAGCCAGCCAAGCAGCTCCTCAGGAGGTTTGTGGGGTTCTTAACATGGAGAGCAGTCTGTTCTGGCACCTTTTGTACAAAGAGTTCGGGTCTGAGCCTTCCTTAAGCTCCCTAAAAAGGCATGGATGTTTCAGAGCTCGTTTTCACAGATGGTGCATTTTGGTTGGAGGCAGTGAGCTTTGGTCGAGGCACAGCCTACAAGCTTGTGGCTGGTTGTGCTTCCCTATGGAGCTTCTGTCACTGCTACTCAGCAGTCGCTTGGCCGCCCTCCTGCTGCAGCTCTGGCCTCATCATATCAACTGTGACTGGGCCAGCATGCCAGAAAGGCTTTTGGAAATAAAGCAGCATCCCTCTGGACCCAGACAGGCCTTTGAAAAAGTTTGTTTTCTCATCTCAGCTCTGAGTCCTGGACATGTTACTGAGGCTATAACCCTGTAAGAATCCTTCCCCAGTGGCCCGGCAAATCCAGAGTGGGAGGACATTTGCTCTGTGTCTTGTATCCAATTGCTTCCTTCTGGAATATTTTTTTTTTTTTTTTAAGATCTGAAGCTATTAAAACAGACATGAGCCAGGAGTATTTTAGGGAACAGGAATTTTAGCTTGAGGGTAAGCATCCGGGCTCATTTGTTCATGTCTGCATTTGTAAGAGTATTCAGGTCTATCCACAGAAGGAGGTAGGGGAGCTCTAGTTCCTAGATGAGAAAATACAGTGGTAAGTGGACACTCAGGGGAAGTAACTTGAGCAAGCAAGCTTTCTAGCTTTCACAGTTGCATCTGCAATGTGATATGCTGCAATTACTCTAGCAGCAGTATGCAACTCAGCAGGTATTAACGGATTAATTTATTAGCAGATCCCAAAAGCCTGAAGATGGGCATGGCAGCAGGTGGACACTAAGGCTCATATCTAGTATCTCCAAAGCTTCTGGAGTACTTTGCATCTATTGAATCCCTTTGCTCCCCAGCCAGGGGGACAGGGATGGTGATGCTGTATCAAAGCAAAAGTATCTGATCCCTTCTAAATCTCCAAACAGCGGAGGAATTTCCTCCAACCATAATTTCTGCATTTCTTGCTTAATACCTTCAGTGTCTATGCACAGCACTCCACACTGTGTACTCTGGGGTATGTGCCTTCCGCAGAGTGAGTGGTGTGATGGAGCTAAGCAGGAATGCTTTCTCAGGTGTCTCAAAAGAGCCCTGGGAAGGAAATGCCATTGAAACATGCAGGAATGCAGTATGTGTCTGAATTTCCAATTTGTGGAGTTCCACTTTTGTCTCATGGCAAGACCTGGGCAATGCAGGAGCTTACTCTGACTTTCCACTGTCTGGCAAAGGCACTGCAGGAAAAGGATACTCAAGCAGACTTGGGACCTGTGACTTTTGCAACCGAGGTACTGGAAACATAGTAGAGTCCTTTTAATATTCCCGAATGAGGTAATTTTTCTCATACTTGAGCCCTGGAGCAAAACCAGTTTGGTTTTTGGCACCAGCTCCTTGTTTTCCTTTCAGCAACTGCCAGGAGCTGAAGGAAAACTGAAGAATGGAATTACATTGATTTTATTTCCATTGTTTTTCCTCTGCTGTTTAGCTTTACCCTCAGTTTCTTGTTGCCTGCAAGAGCTGTCTGGGAAGAGCAGGAGTTGGTGACAGCACCTTCATGTTTTTTACACAGGATGCAGGGAGGTAGCCTCAATTTAAATGCAGGCAAAGTAGGATTTGAACTTCTGCAAGCCTTTCATGTGTAATCAGTCAAAACAGAGTTCTTCTGGCTCGCTTCAGCTGCTAGACACAAGCCAAGCCTCAAAGGACAGTTCGGGAATGCTGACTTTTCCTTCTTGCAGAACAAGCAAGCACTTCGTTTGCAGAAAGTTTTCCCTAGAGTAGAAGCATTTCCTATGTCTGTGCTGAGATTTGAGCCTTTACTTCCAAAACTAAGAAGATTCCAGCTGATGCCCTGTTTTCTGCTAAACCTGGAATTAAATCTCCTTAATGTGAGTTTTGAAGCTTTTCTAGTATTGTTTTCCCCAGGCTTGTATGTGGTCATGTACCCTGAGGAAAGGCATTGCACAGACTCAAGGAAATGCCACGTGTCTTTGAGGAGGATGCTTGGCTGATTTGTACCCAGATGTGACAGATCAAGGACACATTTTTCTTAAGATTTTGTACCAGATTTCAGAGTCATTTGAGCTCCTGCACTCACAGTTAAAAGGCTGAATTGAACAACATTGAAGCAGAAGAAGTTCATCAATCAAAACAGTAACTCCAGAGCTGTAGCTTATGGGAGGTTTGTGAAAAGGAGCAGGTAGTCCAGAACCAACCACAGAAGGACTCTGTAGTCAACTGTAGAATGGAAAAAGTGAATGAATGGTGGCCATTCAGCCTGATTTGGATGTAACAGTATCTCAGAACCATTGATCAGTGCTACATAAAGCATTCCACGGTTTGTGTTTCTTTTTGAGGTGAAGTAGCATTGCATGAGAAAATTTGAGAGGTCGCCAGGGTTGGAGAGAGAGTTAAAGCAGCGTGCTTCCTTGTGTGCTTTTTGTGATTGCAGCCTTTGCTGTGGGCAGGTGGCTTCAGTGCAGGCCTAAATAGAAGGGAATTGCAGGAAAACCTCTACTGTGTTACCAAGCAGGAGAAAACTGGGAAGCTGTCATACCTGCCTCATTCTTCTGATGAGCAGCGCTTGCTGTGCACTATTTAGTGGCAATGCTTTCCAAAGCCCAACATGCTTGGAGCAAATCTGAACCAGGCACATTTGAAAGCTTGTGCTCTCTTTGCTGGTATTAGATGAGTAGCAGCAGCATTTGCTGGAAACAAACATTATTTTTATTAATGTTCGAAGGCTTCCATTATTTGTCTACTTCTAAAGCTAGACATTGGCTAGCCAAGAGCTTTGGCAGAGCCTCTGGTTACTCTTACTGCAAGAATTCGATAGCTCAGTGCCCAGTAGCAGAGTTGATAGAAGGGAATGTGTGCTTTTATCCTGCTGAAGCACCAGTGCAGGACTTAATGGAGAACATCTCCAAGCCCTCTGGCTGCAGCCCCCAATAAGCTTGGCAGTGAGTTTCAGCTGGCTCCCAGGAAATCTTTCTTCAGTGGACTGAATATATTTAGCAAAAAATATCCCTCTGAGACCAGTGCACTATTTGCATCTTTGACCTGAACAAACCTAGATAGCTTTGGTTGTCTTCTCAATATCAGGATCTCAAAGCACTGAATTGCTCCAAGAAACCTTTCCAGGAAGAAGTGTCTGGGCAACAGGCTTCAGCAGGAACTGTGTCTGCTATGAGGGAGGTTTCGTACTGCTGTGAATCAGCTTGCTCCAGGGCTGTCTTAAATAAGACACAGCTGAACTGTGCCATTGTCCTGTGCACACTATGCAGAGGTGCTTTGCACTCAGTCAGCAAGCCATACTAATTACACATTTGCATGCAGGTGAACTGACACTGCACAGTATTCCCAAGTCTGGTGCATTTGGAATTGCACCCTGCACCCATCCGTGGACACCAGCTCACAGCCTTCCCAGGGCAGCTCTGCTGTGAGGACAGGCTTATATCAGTGTCAGTTTGCTCTATCTTTCTGTTGGCTTTCATTGCCTTCTCACTGCTTTATTGCCTGTTCTTTGTCCTGCTCTGTGCCCTTTCTGCCTGTTCCGTGGCATGGCAGGGAGATGCCATGTACACATCACCCCCTGAGTCACCTCTGGTATTCTGCACAGCTTTTATCACGCTTTGAGTTCATTGACAAGGATTTGCACTCAGTGTTTCATTCTTTCTTCCACAAAGTACAGCTGTGATCTGTATGTGGTTCAGCCAAATGAGCTTCCGGACAAAGTGCATTCCTCAGCTAGCATTTTTTCCCCCAAGGAAACCACCCTTCACTATGTGCATGGAAGGACTTTAATCCTACTGTCCAGAGGTAATCTGAAAAAAGACAGCGACCCTAATAAACAGCCTGATTTTTGTGGTGCAGAAAGTAAGAAGTGCATTAGAAAACAGCCTTTCTTTCCTCCCAGGAAATCCTTTATTTCTGCAGGACCGACCAAGCCTCATAAAGGAAAGTTGTCTTTTAGGTTAATTAATAGCTAATAGCTGGGCCAGGAACACTGCTACATAACTAAAACCAGAGCTGAAAAATGTTCACCTGGAGTGAAACTTGAGTTTTTCAGTGCAGTACCACAACGAGGGGCAGCAGGTGCTCACGCTGCTGCTGAGGTTACCCCGTTTGCTTTGCCCTCATGGGATAAGCAGCACGACGTATGTTCCTGTTACATTCGTCAACGTGTCTTAAGTAATTAGCATACGTTTCTTAATTTTGGGTAATTCTTAACAGCAACAGCTATTCCCATGAGTGACCTCCAAGGAGGGGCCTTGCAGATATTCCAAATAAAGCAGCCCCAAATATTTTTGGAAGCAGCATCCTCAGCAAACTGCAGTCAGAGGCCTGATGACCTGTCGTCCTTCCACGTGTCTGTTCTCTTCGTGGAGGCTGGTGCTCTAACTGAGAAGCAGTGTCTGCACCTCAGCTTGAATTCAGACATTTTCCGTGCTAAAGTAATGCAGTCTCTTTCGTTTGCTTCCTTTTTCTGTAGATTCCTTTCCAATTGGTATATTTCATACTGACAGTTCTTACAGACATTGGCCATGGTCATGCTGAATTCCTGACATAAATCCAGATGGGACTTTATTGTAGACTAGCATCTGTCTTTCCTGCACAATTGCTGCTCGTCTTGGGTAGGGGTGATCTGGCTTTAGTTTTTTGTTATACAAGTTAGTGTGTTTGAAGTCTTTGTAGGTTTGTGTTGTGTTTTATTTGCTTTTTAGAGTAACTAAGGTGGCAATACAGGCTGGCTGTCCTCTGTGGACCATTCATATTAGTGGAAGCTGAAGAGGACCTACTGTATGTGCAGCATTGGTGTGTGCACAGAGCCCCACATTAGGTTGCCCTGGCTCCTCAGGGAGAACAGTATTGAAGAAAAGCATCTCCTGGGTCAGAACATGATGTGTATGTCTCATCCCAGGAGCAGTTCTTATTTCAGCAAAACTTCAGTGTTTGCTTGAGACTGGTAACAGAAGCTGCAAGTGGAAGTGGCCTTGGAGACTTCTATAGCTGCGGAAATAGGCTTCCTTCTGAACCCGGAGTTCACATTACCAGTGGGACCGTGACATTTTCACCCTCAGTTAAGCAGTTAGTGCCAAAATTGGCCTTCACATTCTGAAGCAATTCAAATCTTTCATTTCTTTGGACAGTCAGTCTGGTGAGAGTGCTGTATAGATGTTGCATGTAACGACTACATCATCAGGTCCTCTGCACACACACACATTTACAGCTTATGAAACACAGCAGTACCTTTCAGAGCCAATGGCCATTGTGCTGTAGCCATTTGCACAGGTAGTGAACATAGAATCATTAAGGTTGAAAGCTACTGCTAAGTCCAACCATCAGCCCATCCCCACCACAAATGGTACATCCAGGTGAAGAGAGATACCCTCCCCACACTGTTTTTGCAGCATGCTTGCCTGTCTCCAGCATAGATTTTCACAGAGGCTCCAGAGTGTTCACTGCAGGCTCAGGTTAGCGAGATGCCAGGACTGATAACCCCATCCTCCACTCTGGAAGTCAGGCTCTCTTCTCAGGTGCACTTGGGGAACGAAACTAAATAATTGCTTAGAATTTGGGAATAATATTCAGCTTGTTGTTCAGCAATTTTTCTCTGGCCATGAGACAAAATGATAGGAGGGCTTCAGCAGTTACACGTGGTGCCAATCACAACATTGCAGTGCTGCTTATCACTACATTAGCAATTCCCACAATGCAGTGATCTGACTTGGCTTTGACAGCTTGCAAGGCAGTCCAGCAATTCAGCAGTTGAGGTTTACTGGATGATTGGCAGAGAGAATTATTGTTGCTTGAAGTTGTGACGTGGTTTTGTAAACTTCCTTCTTTTCCAGATTCGGTTAAACAGCAGAGGACTCATCTATTCTGTTGGTCTCTTGCTGGCATCTGTTTTTGTCACAGTATGTATATAGTCTTTTGTCCTTTATTTTCAAAAGAGTGACTTTATGGATATTTCCTTCACTGGATTCTTTTCTCACCTCCAGCTGCACTTGTGATTGCAAAGGCTGTTGTTAAGGGATAGAAATGGTAGCTGCTATTGTAAACTTCCCAGTACTTTAATCTGGCTTTTGACAGAAGCTATCACTGTCACAGGATGTTTCTTGTATTTATGTTTTCCCCAGGATAACCTCTGGCAAGTCCATTAGTAATCCCTAGTCATTTAGCATGCTCACATTGAATCAGATCCCTTGAAGTATGAAAAGATGCATTTTCCTATTGAAGAGATGCAGTAAATGCTGCACAGTTTGCTGTGCAAGAACCTTCCAAGATACAACACAGGCCAGAACAAATTGTGCTGGGATGTGTCAGTGTTTCTATTGAAAGCAGTGGCTCCTGTTTCCTGACCTGGCCAAGTCCATCATGAAAGTAGACTAGGGAAAACAAAGAGAATAGGATGAATATATCCTTGTGTCATCTTCCAACTCCCCAGACCAGCGGCCATGGCAGGGAGCACCCCATGCAGCACACCGGCACAGTTCTCCTGCACTTTAACTGCAAGAGGTTTGTGTTGAAGCAAACTAAGCAAATTCAGGCACAGCCTTAGCTGGTTCAGCTCCAAATTGAGAGACAGAGAGGCACTGGAAGTGTTATAAGTGAATAGAAGGGAGTATAGCCTTTTAAAGCACTTCCAATTGAATTACCAAAGTGAAATTCGTTGCAGAAACCTAAGGCCATTGGGCCAGCAGTCAAGGGAATGCAAGTCAATATGGCCCCAAGCTCTGTGAGGGAGATGCTCAGATTGATTGTAGCAGCGGGCTTGAGCTCCCTTGTTGCAGTGCCTACCTTATAACTGCTTCCAGTTGATGGTGTTTGGCGTGGGCACAGTCATTGTTGTGCTCCTGTAATTGACAAAGGATTTACCATTTTATCAAACCGATCCTGCTCTGGTGGCTTACTCTGTGTTTATTGTAGGTTTTCGGCGTGCACATGAACAAATGGAAACTGGATAAGAAGCTAGGGTGCGTGTGCCTTTCCCTGTATGGCATCTTCCTGTGTTTCTCCATCATGACAGAATTCAATGTTTTCACTTTTGTGAACTTGCCCATGTGCAGAGATCACTAACGCACATTGCAGACTGTCAGGAGGGACGTCCTTCTTACCTGTGCAATACAAACCACGGCTGGCATCTCCTGAAAGCGGTGCACCTCCAAGTCGTGAAGTATATCCTGTCCATAGGACCTGTGCCCCATCTCGGTTTACCCTCTCCCCGACCCCCACAACCTGGAAAAAAAATCCTGCATCGATGTGAAGATGATATTTTTTCTTTTTTCTTTTTTTTCTTTTTTTTTTCAACATTCATGTGATTTCTTAGCTCAGTTTTTGGACAGTGACTGGTCTCTAGATGAACTGGCTGCTAACTGGCATCAAGCCAGGCAAAACTGGTCTGCTACAATTCCTTTTTTAAGTTATTTGATGGAAGACTAATCTAATTTATGTCTTAAGACTATTGCTACAATGCAGAAGAGGGTACATCATACAGGGGCTGATTTTCGAGGAGAATTCTGGGATTTTTTTGGTTGTGTTTTTCTTTTTTTTTTTTCTTGTTGTTGTTGTTTGTTTTGGTTGTGGTTTTTTATTGCCTGAGATCAACATCCTGTGTTGCAGCTTCTCCTTCTGAGCTCTGGGTCTCCTGTAACGATCCAGAAGTCACAGGGCAGTGTAATATGGGAATTTAATTCAAGGTACTCAACATACGAGTGGATTGACTGCTTATTCAGAGAAGACTGTCAAGGCAACAGACAGTGACTGCACCGTCAATCACGAATCCTGTACAGGTGTGATGAGGAATGGAAGGTAAACACGGACTTCAAGGATAAACACTGCTACTATTTTGTTATTGATGTCGGCGTTTTATTAATAGGGTGTTTGTGGTATTTCCAAGCAATAGTTTGATTGCCAGCCCAGCAGGGCTACCGAGGAGACGTCCTGTTTTTCTGTCATCTACACCTGGAAACGGAAGGTCAGAACTTTATTTGCTTCATCAGATTTCTTGTAGCTTTGGGGGGATTCTATAGTTCACGTCTTATTTGTTCTGAGGACATCAGTACGTGTCAAAACTTTTCTAAATGAGTTACAGACACTGGTTTCTTTAAAAGGAAAGAGGCGTATTTTGCACAGACACAGTTACTGAAGTCATTGTTTGCCACTCTTTAAAGAATACACTGGACCTGGCCAGATATTTGTCTTTTTCTTAAACAGTTGAACTTCTCTGATGGCAGATCATGTGGATTCGTCACACCTCCTCTGGGAGGGAAGAAGATGGAGAGAGAGATGGCACTTTTAAAATGTGTAATATCTACAACGCAGACTCGCTCACAGATCTTAAGTTATTGTGAAAATTTAGCTATTCATTGTTCCAGTATCCTTGCTAGATTTTGTATAATTCTGTATTAATACACAGGCAGATCCAACCCCATCAGGAACACTATCACGGCTACATTTGTTTGTATTGATACTGTGGATTCTTGCCAGCGCTGGCTGTTGTATTTACTTTAAGCACTGATCACTTCTGATTCATTTTTTCCCCGTTCTTGTATATGTTCTACTACAAGTGTGTTAATATAATACCAACTAGATGAATGTTTTTGTCTATGGTACAAGCAATGGCAAATATTGGTAATAAAGACATAGCAAACCCTAGTTTTAAGAAAAAAAACATGAAACGAAACCATAGAACCCTCCTAAACCTTACCAAAAAAAAAAACAGCTTAAAGCTAAACTTAAAAAAAAAAAACCCGTCCTATGCACAATGATAAATCCAGCTATCAATTTGTTTTCACTTTTGGACATTTGTTTTTGCTTACTTTTCTTTGGAACAGAATGATGTAAATCAAAGTATTTACACCCTGTGGCTTCCATTCAGCTCTGCACCTTCTTTTCTTTCTTGGTTATGCTAAATGCGTGGATCCTTTGGCAGCCATTGCACTGTGCCCATTGGAGAAGTCCATCAGAAAAAGCCATGACCTGCTGCCCTCAGCAAATAACGCATACTTGTGGATCCCTGGCAAGAAGATGGGTGGGCCCAGGGACAGAGATCAGAGCCATTGGCATGCCTGTGTTATCATTGCTAATTCTGGAAAATAGTTGTCTTGCTACTTGTTGAGCCATGCAGCCTGTTGTTGGAGCAGTCTTCTCATAAGTGTGCCCATGTTAGGAAGCCCATTGTACCTTCTTGTTGCTTTTTTTGTGTGTGTGTGTGGTTGTTTCTTTCCTTCTTTGTTAATGAGATTAATAATAACCACTAAAATGCCTAAAATACTTCCTCAAATGCAACAACGTTAGCAACGATGTGGCACATTTCAGTAAAATCCACCCCACGAATACACAGCTATACTCCTTGTAGCAGGATGCAGTTGTTTGGAAGCAGAGTGTTTTCCTTGCTGACAGAAGGAACAGATTTGGGGGAAAACAAAACAAAAGTTCCACGTCAGGGCCTACGGGGCCTATTATTACTTCTATTTTGAGTATTTATACTGCTGCTCCAATGGAGCCAGTTGGATCTATTTCTACGAAATAGCTGTTACCTATCCCACGGCACAAAAACCGCAGGAGTATTTTTTTAGGAGCCTTTCCTACTGGTGTGCATTAAATACTGTAGCGTCTCATAGCTTTGTGTTGCGCGTGAAACCTGACATTTGTTTTGAAGCTTGTGCATTGAGCAGGGATGTTCTGCCAGCTGTTTGCTCTGAGCAGAAGCAGAAGGTATGTTGGACTGCCGGTATCTGTGCCATAAACGACATGATAAGCACTTCCTGTGCTGATAGTTCCAGAGAGATGCGCTTACGATTTGCAACCAGATCGACCAGTGCAGACCTGGTTTGGAACAGAAAAGACCAACTGAATGTTTTTTTGTCTCCACAGAGGAGAGCCTGTCCCGTTTGTTAGCTTGTGGAAAAGTCCCCAAAGCAAAAACTTAGGCGATTTTTGTAGCGTCCACCCAGAACTCAGACAGTTCTACTGCCACGTAGGGTGTGTTAATAGCTTTACTTGATGGAGCAGAGGGGCTCTTTCCCTCCCGAGATGCAGGCTGTGTGGGGGAAGCTGCCGCTCGGCCACAGGCACAGAGCACCTCAGTGACTGCCCACATGGGGCAGGGAGGTTATGGCAGCAGTGCCGTGGGCTTGGGGCACTGGGCTCAGGTGTGGTTCGGAACGCAGCAGTGATTCGGATTCACTTTTTGCTCTTCCAAAAGCAAGGGTCAGCTTTAAGCTTGAGGCCGCTCTGGTCTTGGGACCAGTCAGGTGTTTCTGGTTCCATTGCTGGCGGTTTCAGGCAATCCTTAGTGAATGTTTCAAAGGGAGATGAAAGAGCCTTTTCCTCAGCTCGCTCCAACCTGATTTTGTCCCAGCTGGTGTCAAAATGTGACCCCTCATGCTCAGCATGACGGTGCCTTCCTTGCACGGTGGTTCAAAGGTAGAATGACACGGGGGGAGGTCTTAAGGCATGCAGAAACTGCTTTTGTCCCTACCAAAGCTGAATTATGATCGTGTTTTGTCTTTTTTGACACACTGCACTTTTTGGTAGATCGTTACTGCTGTAGGAACACCAATCTGAAGCGTGTGCATGAGAAGAGATTCTCACTGATGTAATTGGTGTTTCGTTTTGGGTTTTTTTTTCCCCTCTGTGTTTACACTTGCCTGCCTTGTTTTCAGCTTCCTGTCCACAGCTACGTCATCGAAATTAATTACCATGCTTTGGATTTGTGATGTTTGTGCCTGTGAAAACGAATGCTCATCCTTACCGTTCAAGATGCATGACTGGCTTTTTGTTTTATCTTAAGAACAAGCAGTCTTTTAGAACGGCAACATTCAGTGTAGCTGGAGCAACCTGAGGGTAACATTTACTATTCTGCTGTCAGACGAGCAATTTTTGTATGATCTTTCCAAATAACCACATTAATGCTTATAAGACACAATGCAGACTGAATATTGTTGGATAGCCTTTGAGAGAATGCTAACTTTCTGCTGACTGACAAATGTTTGTTATTTAATTATTTTTTTAAAGCCCTGATGGCTTTCAATGAAGCTTGCTGAGATGCAGAAGCGTCAGGTGTATCTGTTTCAAAGTTTTAGTACTGGAAAGTTAAAGCTGTTTAAATATGTACTTTAAAACTCAGTCTCAATGGACCCTGCGTAGCTGGATTGAAAACTGCTCTGTATTCGTGGCACTGCACTTGGTCAGCAACCAATGTAGGTTGTGCTAAAACAGAGTTAAGCCCAGGGACATCGGCCCATGTTATGTTTTGTACAGATTTATCCACGTGGGTTCAAAGCCCTGTTTTTAAGGAACGTATACACAAGACCTCAGCCACTTTTCTTCAAATTAGAGGAGTGAGTGTCCCAAGTATAATGCAAGCCTTAAAGTAAGATTGAGTGAAAACTGACCTCTACTGAAAGTAACAACAAAACTCCAATGATTTATTTCAGGGTCAATATACATATTCACAGCAGTAAGTCCTGAAAAGGACTGTTGTTCTGTGTCTTTGTAAAGATGAATGAACTCTTTGTTTTCTTTTTGGAATAGATGAATGAATACCTATTAATGGCTAGACACCTCTGAGGAGATCTATGTGAATATTCTGTTCGTAGCAAGCCTTTAATGGCCTCTCATTTGAAGCATATTTTGTAGGTGCATCAACTTCCACCCAGCCTCCTCTGACTTGTTGGACTGAATCTCCAGAATCCATATCAGGTGTGGGCAAATCCATGCCTTATGGAAAAGTTTTCTTTATTCACGGGAAAGCAATCAGGGAAGATAATAGCAATTTCTTTCATTGAACACCAGCAGATAAAATTTGGTTCTAAAATCTATAGTTTACCACCCTGAATAAGCCTGAGATCATGGCCAAGTTGTCAAAGCTAAATATCCCCAGTGAAGGGACGAGAAAACAAGACCTAGAGGGAACATTCGAGGGAACTGGGATTGTTTTATGTGGAGGAGGGTGAGGGGAGATCTCATCACTCTTTATAACTACCAGAAAGGAGGTTGTAGAGGGCTCACTTCTCAGGTGACAACTGGTAGGACATGAGGAAGCAGACTCAGCTTGTGCCAGGTGAGATTAGATTAGAGACCACGCAAAAGGTGGTGAGGAACAGGCTGCTCAGGGAGGTGGAGTCCCTGGCAGTGAGAGATGTGTGGACATGGTGCTTAGGTACGTGGTTTAGCTGCAGACTTGGTAACGTCAGGTGATGGTTGGATCTGATCATCTTCTGCCTGTGTCTTTCCCAACCTAAATGATTCTATGGAATGGTTGTGGTTTAACCCAGCAAGCAGCTAAACGCCACACAGCCTCTCGCTCCCTGCCTCCCAGTGAGATGGCCAAATTCCAGCCAGTCCCTGAGCAGTGGCTGCCCCCGACCAGCTCTTAGTCTTATAGGCTTCTCACACGATGCCATATGGTGTGGAATGTCCCTTTGGCCAGTTTAGGTCAGCTGTCCTGGTTCTGTCCCATCCCAGCTTCTTGTGCTCTCCAGCCTCCTTTGCTGACAGGACAGTACTGAAAAACTGAAATATCTGTGGCTCTGTACAGCTCTGCTCAGCAACAAGTAAACCTCAGTGTGCTACCAAGATTGTTTTTCTCCTAAAACCAAATCAGCCCCATAACAGGCACTATGAAGAAAATCTGCTCTGTCCCAGCTGAAACCAGGGCAGAAACTAGGGCAGAAGCATCTGATTTCAGGGAAGCCTCTTAAAAAGCACAACTTGTGTAAAGCTCCAGATTTTGTAATGTCTTTATGTAGTTAAATTTATTGTGGTATATTTTAGGTAATTTTTGTTTTTCTAATAGCCTCGTGGAACAGGTTTTAATACTTCCACACTGAAACAATCTGACGGCCGTCCTGTCAATGTAATCTTCATTCATCAGGTAGAGTTTAAATGGTGCCAGAAATCGGCATAGGAATTTTATATCAACAGTTGCACGTCAACTTTTTCTTGCCAGGTGCAGGAAACAAAGTGTAACGGTGCATGCCTGAACCTATGAGGACAGTGGTAGCTGATGATGGATTAATTCAGATATTGAGCTTTTGCCTTTGAGGTTTCCCATCAGCACATCTGGCAGATAAGGCAGGCAGCTTGGCTTCCCAGCAAAATAATTCCCACTGCTGGATGTTTCATTAATCTGATCTCATGCTATAATGAAGGAAGGGGCCTGCTGGTACCCCCCTTTGTCAATGAAACACTGGAGACCTGCTTAACTCGAAACTCATGCTTCGTGCAGAAGTCTGTGTATTGAAAGATAAGCACACGCTGAAGTGTTTCAATGCAAAGTTCATTTTAATGAATCCAGCTCTTTGGCATCGCCATTAAGTGCTCAGCAAAAGCAGCACTTACTCAGAGTGAAGGCTCTCATCAGGAGCAGCTGCAGCAAAATGTTCCCATTTGAAGAGGCCGGCAGGTGAAATTGTGTGTGATTAATGAGCAGATAACTCTGATGAGGAGGGCCTGTATCAAACGTGCCTTGGATTAAAATAAAGAAAGTGACTTTGAAAAGTCTGTAAAACTTCTATAAACTGTTCGCTAGCAGGCTGCTACTGAGAAGATTTTTATTACTGATGCAGTTTAGGAAAGTAGATCTGGGGGCACAAAGAGTGTGGTTGCCTCCAGGGCCTTCCTATGTGAACACAGTTGTGCTGTTGACTGCTCTTGAGCAAGCACTCGAAATTAAGTTGGAAACTGTGCTGCAAAAACATGCTTTATATCCTGACTTTGAGTCCTGCTCAAAGTCACAACAACAAACAGGTGTTTGTTTGGGTGGGAACATCTGTCTGGGACCAGGACACTGTATGGGAGGACTTGTGATAGAGATGAGATGCACAGGTATTGTATAGATGTTGGGAGGTGGGATGAAGTCTTTTTCAAGGGTCAACAATCCCGTAAACCCAACAGCCTGCTAGTTTGCTTAGGATTTTGGTTTGCTCCTTTTGTTACAAGGATTCAGGATTTCGCTTCCCCTCTCAAAAGTTGAAACCCTTTGCCTTTGAAGCTGACCCCTGTCCTGCTTCCCTAACACAAAATTGGCACCCTGGGCTAACAGAAATAGGGTGTAGTTTTTGACCTGGTAAATCGATGGGAGAAAATGCGAGGAGATCTTTGTGTGGCATATGGTTGAACTTGAACCTCCAGACTGCAAGACAGAGTCAGCCTACGGTCTGCCCTACAATGCCCCACACCACCAAAATAGCCAAATAGTGGGGCAGGGAAGACTTTTAATAGGATGCCTTCTAAAAGGCTCTTCAAAGGGAACTGTGTGTGTGAGGATATTGTATATCTTCAGTGCCCTCGTTACTTACTGGCTTACAAATACACAGTACTCACCCTGCCAGCTGCAAAAATGAATGAAATGGATACAGCCCTGTTTAATTTCTGTTATGGAGTGAAACTCATCATGCACTAAACATAACTGAGCTGAGTAGGTGGTTGTATGTAGGTCGCTCTGAAAGTAATGCTTCCTATTTATTCCCATGGAAACTGTAACAAGGAGTACGATAACGCTGTTGGATAGAGCACATTCTCAGCTACGAAATGCTATTTTTCAACATTGTCACCATTAGCTGTGCATCTTCACCAGTGATAAACAAGAACCTGTAGGCCACACTCATAAAAATCTGCACCAGTGGAAGTGACCACTGTTGCTGGCACCACTGCTGACGTGCACCACCCAACCCTCACTGTGCTCACAGCCACTGCTTGGCTGCCATCGACATTCAGGAAGTGTTGATGAATGTCAGTGGTGCCATTTTTTCCACATGGAGGAATTCGGTGACACCTTGGCTTCATCCCTGCTTCCATGCCAGACGCCGCTCTGTCAGGCTGCCCCTGTGCTGCCATCTGTCACACGGCAACAACATGCAATGGGGCATTGGTGGCAAGGTTCAATCTCTACTGCCGTCCCACCAACATCTGCCTCTGACATCATGGGACAGCACGGTGAAATAGGAGGCATTACTTTCAGAGCAACCCTCATAGATACGAGCTGGGTGTGTTTTATGGAGCCAAACTACAGTATACTGTTTTTTGTTAAGAGAATCAGTCATAAGTTCATGTAATTTTTATTGGTGGATCTGGGGCCTCGTTTTTTTCTTAATGTATAAACATAGATTCTATTCAAATAGCAAATGAGTATATATATACTATACCTAATATGTCTGCCATTGTTAAAATGAAGCCCTGTGGACACTGTGCCATTTCTGTGGGAATAAAGCCCTATCATGGGCTAAGACCCAATGATACTCATACATATCTACTCATAAGTACAAGAGGTGATAATGAGTTTTGAGTTGTTTCCACGTTGTATTAGCGAGGTACTGCTAATGGTGTACAGCAGCTGTACGTCTATAATGCAGCAGGTCAAAAGCCTGAGCAGCCTATAGCTCTGCATTCATATTTCCAATTGTAATTATTTCCAGTCGTTTGAAGTTCCAGTTGCGTATTCTGAATGTAAGGATAGGTTTAAAAATAATTAAAAAAGAAGAGATATTAGGAGGTCAGGAAATTGTGCACCAAGGTGTTTATGCATTTTATTTGTTTATTTGTCCTTCGGTAGGAGCTGAGCCTCTGGTTCTATCATGTGTTTCCCTGTGTTGGCAAAATTAGTAAAAATTAGTAAAAAAAATCAGTGAAATTAGTAAAACTCCTATTTCAGTCCTCACCTAAAGCTAAAGCGAGGATCTCCCTCTTGAAACCCTCCAGTCAGATGAGCCCAGCACTCACAAATGTGACACAGCCGTGTTTCCGCTCTGCTGTTTGCTTTCAGGTAGGTCAATTGATCTCAATCGTAGAATATATCAGGTATCATTGCCTTCCATTTGAATTACAGTAGGGCTCAGTGCTGGGAAACAAAAGAGCAATGGTAGAGTCATTTTTGGTGGTGCCTCCTAACGACTTGTGGATTTCTTAGATTAGAAAATAAACATCTAGAAGATGAAGGCTGATTGCGTGAAGTATTGCATAAGTCTGTCATACATATTCATGTCATCGTCGAGATTTGCATGAAACGAACTTCTGCATGTTGTCGAGGATAAGTCTGAGTTCCTCTTGGATTTTCAGGAAAAAGTCCTTTCAGTAATTCTTACTGGTGAGTCAAAACGTCTGAGCGTAACATATCTTTATTTCAGATTTGTGTTATGAAATGACACCATGCTTAGGACAAATGAGCAAGTGCAGAACTTGAGCTACTGCTGACTACAGTGAATTCTTGACAGAAGCCAAAGCAGGGAGTTTGTGGAATAACTTGGTTCTTAAGGGCTTTTCGACATGCACAGCAAGCAAAGGACACAAATCTGCATTTATACAGCACAAATGGAGAGCAAGTGTGCTGTGGCATCACAGAAAGCTGGTTACTGTTTAGTGGGGATACTGGCAAGCTTTGCAGAGGTTCATAGATAGAATCACTGAGGTTGGAAGAGACCACTGAGGTCATCTAGTCCAACCATCAGCCCATCAGGGCTGCATTTGTGCGGGGCTTTGTGTGAAAACTGTTTATCTTTACAACTCCTCCTGATGAAAGGTGTTTCTTCCCAGTGAGAAACACAGCACCCTTTTATCAGGGCGAAGGGAAGAGAGACACGAGGAATGAAGTCCCTCGCTCAGTACTTGCCCTCACTTCACAAGTGTGCATTTTGTCTTTTCCATTAATGCTTGGGTGAACTTGCCAGTAAGAGACTCCGTGCCTGATAGAGGGAACGCATTTTGCTTCTTTTTTCCTTGAGAAATAGTTTCATTTCATTGCCTCTCCTTGTCAAGTTGGGAGCCATTACCAGGCCCCTAATGCAGATAGTATTTGCAAAAGATGGTCAAAGGAATAATAAATTATCCTCACGTTGAATGTTTGGAGACTGAAACCAAAGGAGGAAGATGTTTCTGGCTATTTTTTTGTTTGATTTGGGTTTTGGGGGGGTTGGGGTTTTTTGGGGTTTTTTTTTGTTTGTTTGTTTTTTGCTGCTGTCTGCCAAAGTTGCGTGCTGCCTGGAATCCCTGGGTGTGCTTTGGCACTGGTTTGGTGTTGGTGTGGCCACCAGAGCAGAACAGGCCTGGTGCTTCTCTTCAGTCCATGGGCTGGCTGGGGGAGAGGTTATCTCATAGCCCAGCAGTTGGGCATTCAAGATCCAGTAGCTGCTTGGGGCTCTTATGGAAAACTTATCGCTGTACCGTGATTAAAGTCTTAGACCTGTGAATGCAGTCCCTACATGAGCTTGTACTAACTGTGATGAAACCATACCGACCTTGCTGAATTGCATGCATGAGTTTTGTACTTTATGGCGTGGTCAGGCTGCAGGAGGCACAGCAAAACAAGTCAGTAAACCAAGCACCTTCTGTTCGACTCAGGATCAAACAGCATCTCCTGAGTGCAAAGACCGTGCGATGCTTCGATCCATAAGGAAGAAAATGTCGGTGGAACCAAGCACAAATGCACATAATGCATCATGTTCATTGACAGCCAGCCAGAAAAAAAAAATAATCAGTGGTTTATGGTAATAGAATTCTATTCAAAATAGCTTTTTTATTAAGTCGGCTTAGAAATGTTAAAATGGTGGAGCCACAGACAAAATATTTGTTACCTTTTGAAATGAGTTACAATGGTTTTGTCATACTTGTACAAGTATTATAAGGTCAGTCTTTCTGTATGTTTGTTTTACAGCTTGTTGTAGAATAGTATTTTATGCATAGCTGTTCCACTTGCCTGTGTAAGTTACAAATTCAACAGAAATTAAAGCATGCATTTTTCTCTGTTTGCTGGTAACCTATGAGATTAGAAACTTGTATTTCTGTGTTTTTACTGTGTTATACTATAAACAAAATTCACAGCACTATTGTCTATGGAATATCAAAAAGTTTTATTAGAATGAATTACTTTCAGTGTTTTGTCATTTGATTTAATAACGTGTCAGACATCTACACTAAGACAATATAATGTTTATCAATAAAAATATCCTCTCTTTGTACTAAGTTAACACTTCAGGACATGCTTGGACATAGGCATGGCACACCAGCCATTCCTTCATTTCTGCCAGAGCTGTGACAGTCCTTTGTATAACTCCTTCAAAGTGAGCACTGAGCTAGAGAGGGAGCGAAGGAAGAAGGAAACAGAGTTTTTATACCTTGTGTTTCTTCCAATACAGCTTTTGCTGTAAAGGTGCATGCACCTCAGTAGCTCCTGTAAATGCTGGCTGGCTCCCCTGGACTGCACGTGTTTAATCCATATAGAAACACAAAGGGAATTGAACTTGCTATTAGATAATGAGCCAAATTCTGCTCTTTTACAGCAGTAAAGATCTGAAATTACTTCACTGAAGTAAGTTTATTTTTTCTAGACATAGGGCAGCATGAGTTAACTGCTGCTCTCCCAGCTGGAAGGATTCCACACCTGTGACCATTCAACAGCAGACAGCTGTGTTACAAGCTCCAGTCCTCCTCTGAAGTCATTCCTGAAGTAACATTTTCAATAATGCTTGGAATAATAATAAGGAGGTGCTATATAAGAGCTTCTGATACAGCCAGTTTGCGTCAGAGAAAGCTGCAGAAAACCTGTGGAGGGGGCTGGTTAGAAGGCATACCTCTAGAGCAGTAAAATACTTGGGCCATCGTGATGCTTCGTGCCTGCAGGCCAAGTTTCCCTGTGAAATCTGAGCCTGTGCTGTGACAGGATTCTCACTGTTCCTACCTAAGGTGATAAGGTGATTCTTTACCCAACCTCCCTCCCTTTCCTTTTTCTCTGAAAAAGGTTGAGATGCATGAATGGAAGAGCATGCAAGTGGGACCGGCACCTCAACTAATGTACCTTTGCTTAGGTCTTTGTCACAGCTGCTGCCAAAATGACATCTTTATTCTCAAGGAGTCACCACATCCACCACAAGAAGCAGAAGGGATTATTTATGTACTTACATGCAGCTATTTCCAGGTGCAGAGATGACACTCACATGAGTGAAGGGATGAGGCACAGCCTTTGATGCTAATGTAAAAAATGCCTTCCATTGGTGCAAACCCAGCAGTTGTCTTATTTGGTTTCTGTCTGCCTGCTGGCAGCCCAAACAGTATGTTGGAATTCATAGGGATGCTGTATCACTGTAGAGACTTCCCCACAGCAAGTTTTCTGGTTCAAAGACAGCCTTGCTTTCTGTCACAATTTGAAGCTGTTCCAATAGGCTGTGGGACTCCAAAGATATTCCCAGTCCCAACTCCACGCCAGAGTGAAATGCCAAATGTGTTCTGATGTTGGTTTTGGGTTTGTTTGTCTGTTTTGGCCTTGTGTTCGCTTCACTTCAGAAAAATGCTATGTGATTTACAGCTTGGACAGTTAGAACACGGTTGAGAAGGGGGAGAGCCCAAGGTACCAGGACTTCCATCTAACGCTAGCAGAACTGAAGCACTTGCCTCCCTTTCTGTTCATCTGTGGAATGAAGGAGAGCTTGGAGACTCTCTCCACACAGTGTTTTCAGCCTTGTGGTGCCACTGCTTCCCAGGACTCAATGGGCTGGCTAGTGAGACTTTCCACCTGAGGCTTCTCCCTGTCCTCAAATAAGATGCCTGGACTTTCTACCCACACCCTAGAAAACAGGTGCTTCATGGTTAGGCTGTTCAGTGCCCAAATCCTTTACTAGCAGCCTTGAAACTGCAGCTCCTAATCCCTGGTCCTGGGAGGTCAGCACACACAGGGACTGTCGCCATGTTATTTTTCCTGGAAAGCTCCTGAAGCACAGACAAGACATCCAGCTGTGCCTCTCAAAGGTAAATATGCAGACACGGGACTCGGGACAAACTGCAGGTATGTTTTTTGTGTGCTTGCTTTTCCTCCACGCCGCAACGGTAATCAGACCTCTTAGCACAGCTGAGCATCTGCTCGCTTCCCCTCCAGCTGTTTTAAGTGGGCTGCAGCTCACAGCAAGAAAAGAGGCACATCTTCAACTTCTGGCTGCCAGGAATAAACAGCACTTGATGAGTGGTGTGAGCTGTGTCTGCGGTGCCAAGCAAATCGCTAGAGAAGAGTAGGGTGGGATAAACAAAAACAATTAACCAGTACAGCCTGGGGACAGCAGGTGCAGCGAAACCACTTCAAAGCAGAGCAGTTGCTTACTGTAATTGCTCTCA